TGCCTCAGAGCTCATCTCAGTCTAAACCAACCCAAATTCCAGAACTCCACGTGCAGACATGTCATTATCCCACAGGAAGCATCTGGATCTGCACACGTTCCGTATGAAGCTCTACCACCACAGCCTCATCCACGCTGCCCCCACAGCAGTGCTATAATCACAGTAAATTCCACCCTTCGGGCAACCCCATGTGAATTCCCTGCTTGCAATTCCCAACGTTGATTTTTAAACTTCCTTCCTTACATCCTTTCCCAGCAGAGGGCTCCGACCACACTCCTACCCCTCTCCAGGGCGGGCTTCCACAGCCACTATTCCTTAGAACATGCTGCCTCCCCCCGAGCAACCCGCGCATTTCAACGCGGGTTCAACACTGAAAACCCCACAACACGCCTGGGAAAGGGACAATGCACTTACAGAGTAATTATAACAGATAATTTCAGGTACAGCATCAGGCTCCTAATCCCAACAGCCCGAGACGTGTCCCTGTGAGGACTAATGCAGTCTGCGCTGCTGCTGGGAGGGGTTAAACTGAAAGGGAGCATTTGGCAAACACCAACTGTTGAAGCCAAACGTTTCAAAACGAGGTTTTTCTACCTAGGGCTGAAATTTGCATTTTTTTTGGGGAATAAGCTCTTTGAAAGACGTGGAAATTCATCATCTGGAAGGAACTCTGAATCCCAGTGGTTCATAACCAGTGGTTCTCAAAGGAGACCTTAGAGCAGCCTAAAGGGGCTCCAGGAAACCTGGAGAGGGGCTTTGGACAAGGGATGGAGGGACAGGACAAGGGGAATGGCTTGAACCTGCCAGAGGGGAGACTGAGATGAGCTCTGAGGCAGAAGCTCTTCCCTGGGAGGGTGCTGAGGCGCTGGCACAGGGTGCCCAGAGAAGCTGTGGCTGCCCCATCCCTGGCAGTGTTCAAGGCCAGGTTGGACACCGGGGCTTGGAGCAACCTGCTCTAGTGGAAGGTGTCCCTGCCCCGGGCAGGGGTTGGGGCTGGGGGGGTGTTTAATTTTTTTCGCCCCCCGCCTCAATCTCATGGTGTCCCCCCACCCCTGGGGCGGAGAGAGACAAGCTTTACCCCAGTGGGAAACATCCCCCCCGGTCACCCTCCGCCCCGGCGGGACGTGAGGTGAAGGGCTGTGAGTAACGATGGCGAAGCGCCGCTCACCTCCCCTCACGGCA